GGTCACGTTGCAGGGAAACTGGAGACGGATTATTTCCTTCCCAGCAATAGTATCCAGGATGCGCCACCCAATCCCGCGACCAACAATAGATCCCCCTCCCCGTGCCAGCCGGCGCTGCAATTGCTCAGACACGAGGCGATATTTCATCTAGGGGAACAATTCCGTCCTTTGGCCGCCGTATGCAGCGTTTTAGCCTATTGCTTGCTTGCAGCTCATCCAAAAATGATGGTTACTGGGCAGACTAAAAATATAATAAATGGAATAAGGAAACAACAAACCCTTAGCATTTTGGAGTTACACAAGTTCTTGATGGCTTGGGCACCCCCTGCGGTTCTCAGTGGAACCTTCCATTTGGCAAGCAGTTTAGTAGCCCTCATGGACGAGAAGTCTGCCTGTTGAAAAGGCAGCAGCCAAGAATGAGGTGCTCAGGAAACATTGCTTATTGCTGTTTTCATGTCCACCAGAATACTAGAATAATTTATATAGGAGAGTAAGTTGTAGGATAGGCTACACAAAATCAGAAATATTAAAATGTGATTAAAAGCATACAGGTTGAAGATTGTAGCTTTTCTTGGCACAGAAATGAATGCTGGGTAGCGAATTTTATTTTTACTCTGCTTGCTCCATGCATGTGTGCACGTTACGTGGAATGCATGCATCAGGGGTGTCCTTACACAAGGCATTCATTGTGTGTGTGTGTGTGTGTGTGTGTGTGTGTGTGTGTATTTATATCCTGCCTTTTTCCTACAAAGGGCTCAAGGCAGCTTACATCATTCTCCTCCTCCATCTTATCCCCACAACAACAACCCTGTGAGGTAGGTTGGGCTGAGAGTCTGTGACTGGCCCAAAGTCACCCAGTCGGCTCCATGGCTGAGCGGGGACTAGAACCCGGATCGTCTGAGTCCCAGTTCCATGCTCTTCACCACAACACCACACTGGCTCTCTTGTGTACTTGTGATTCCTCACTCAGGGCAGTTTGTGGGTGCTCTGCAATGACATTCTTGTTCTTTGAGACCTCTCTGGCCCTTTCCAAGCATTTCTGTCACTTTCCACCTGGAAATGGTGAAATGAACCCAAATGAAAAGATTGTGTGTTTTTACAGTTCAGCTTCACAGCTTTGTGGCTATGTAATTATACATGCAGAAAAGCAGGGAAACAAAAGCAAACCCAGAAGCAAAAGCAGGACCAAAACCACACTCGTGTAAAGGAGCCAATCTGAATCCCACAAGGAACCAGGAAGCAGAAGCCTCAGGAAAGCTGTGGATCAAGAGCTTGCTACAGAGAAGCCCTGCATGTGGCAACCATGGTCTCAAAAGGAATCGGGACATCATTCACCGCTGTGCAGACCTGGCCGCCAGCGCACACGTCCGGGTCTCCTCCAGAGCAGGCTCCCCCAGTGTGCCCTGAATGGAGCTGCCCTGAAAGACAGTGAAAGTCAGGAACTTAATCTGGTACAGATGCCGCTGCCAGGATGCCGCTGGGGCCAGGCTGCACCGAGAGGGTTTTATGTCTCCAGGCTCAATTTAAAGTGCTTAATGGTTTGGGATCAAGTTATTGGAAAAACTGCCTACAGCAGCTTTCCACCATTAGATGTCTGGAGTCCAGATGTGTTGGACTACAACCCCCATCATGCACAGCTGCTGAGCCCAAAGTACTTGAGCCTCTTCAGGCCCCACAGTCAATACGTGCTGAGGACAGGGACTTTGCGGTGATCGCCCCATATCTCATTTGTTTGTTCCATGTCTACGGCATGTCTCCTTAAAAAGCAAAACAAACCCTGAAGTGGCTTCACAGGTCTCTCCACTGGTTACTTTACCAAGATATTTTCCAGATTTTTACTGCTGGCTCTGCTCTAATTCTTGGTGCTGATTTCTCCCTTCCATCTGCTCAGTTTGTGTGCTGCCTTGTGGAGGCTTTGCTGCTAAAAGGTGTCAATGGGGGGTCATCATTTCTGACCCAGAAGAATAAATGCATAGAAACATAGAAACACGTCTGGGGTGTGAGCCAGGGCGAGGAGCGTGGAGGATCAGCCTCTGTGGAGCTGCTGGATCGGCTGGGCCGGCTGCTCAATGCCAGCAGGGGCCTTTGCCCACTCCTTCCCCCGCCAGCACCATCGAGCTCTGGGCACAGAGCCCAGGAGTCCGGGCTGCAGTGCTGCCCGGTTACGAGAGTCAGGGCCCAACCTCCCCCCTGGCATCTCTTGGCACAGTTACTCTTCCGAAGCTTAGTTGACCTGGGATGGGGCGGGATGGGGATTATGGAGCCTTCCCTCCCCAGCTGGGCTTCCCCTTGAAATTCGTCCTTGTGTGGCACTCAAGCTGGGAAGAAAACCATCCAAGGGCATCAATGGGCACTCAGGGATCTGGGAAAGAGGTTTGGGGCCCCACCCATCCTCAGAGTCTCCAGGACAGACCCCACACAGGTGCGGTCTAGCTGCTGCCCCTCAGAACCCAAACCTGCCCCACAGTTCAGGAGCCCATCAGGGCCCACCCTTGAGCAGCCAGCAAGACAAAGCAAGAGCAGGGGGTGGGGAGACGAGATGCTTGCTGAAGTTGCCCCTCACCCTGGTGCTGCCTGGGGGACGGAGGTGCTGCCCGGCTGCAAGGATGCCGTATTTTCAAGCCACCAGCGGGACTGGGAATAAAGTGCCATGCAATTAACCAAATTACGAGCAGAGCCATCACCGGTCTAACCACAGCTCCTGGGGCGAGGCCCGACAAACGGCTCATTGTTCCTGGCTGCTCCCCACCTCCTTGCCCCAAGCACAGGCAGAGGCCAGATTCTGTGGGCTCAGCACTCACACACAGAGAGAAGAGACGGATGGGAAAGGGCAGGAAAGCACTCCAGGATGGCCAAGCCCAGCGTGGAAGATACAGAGCCAGGCCCAAAGGCAAGTGCAGCTTTCCGTCTCCCGACATGCCGACAAGCGCAAGCAGTCTCTGTGCTTCCGCAGTTAGAGGAGATGCCTGTGCAGCCCGAAGCCCTGCATTCACCAGCTCAGACGCGGAGCAACAGGAAGGGCGGGGAAGACCAGGAGGCGGCTCTGGCAAGATGGACCACCGCGGTCCTTTCTTGGGTGGCCACCCGTCTGATTCACATTAGTAGCCATGCCCAACTTTCCGTCACCCCTTGGCTGAAAATATTTGTATGCCATCTTTCCATCCCGATTCAGAAACAACCATCACAAAAGAGGAAGAGCAGAAAAAGGGCATTTTGCGCTTTTCGGAAGCCACGACGTGTAGAGAGCCTGGTGCCCACCCAAACATGTGGGCACGGAGGGCAGGAGCACAGGCCTTTCAGGGCAGGGGCACACTTGGGACTTTGAAGAAGGGTAGCAGGTGCGATTTCAAAATGGGTGCTGGGCACAGAGGGAGGGCCGCTGCCCATTCGAGAATGGCTCCTGCACTCAGCGCAGCCTGTCTCAACACACTCGCTCCCCTGAAGCCAAGTGGGGAAGCTGCAAGAAACGGACCCTGCCCAGACACAATGCCCACAGTGGCAGTGGGGTCGGCACTCCAAGGCATGGAAGCCCTCTTGGGATCCAGGCAGGATGGCACAGGGGGCAGCCCTTCGCTGGTGGAAGGCAATCCAAGGGAAGACCCTTTGGAAGCCGAGTGAAGCCAGGCCCGGCAGGGCAGGGCAGGGCAGGGCAGGGCAGGGCAGGGCAGGGCAGGGCAGGGCAGGGCAGGGCAGGGCGCCCGGCAGGCTGCGAGGGCACCTGCAGGCACGCTGGCTCCCCTGTGTGCCACCCTGGAGCTCTGACACGTGGTGTGCTCTCTCCTCAGCTCGGTGACAGCCTTCTCCAGCCACAGGGCCGGCGCGCCACACGCTCCAAATCCGAGCCAAGGCCCGTGCCCAGAAGGGCTCGCACAGGTGCACTGGTTTCCCCAGGGGAGCCCCGAGCCACCCGAGGGCCTGGCAGCCTGCTGCGCTCATACAGATCGTGTGTGCTGTGGTCTCCGTGGTGCTTGGGGTGCTGCTCGGCTGGACCTCAGGGACTGGCAGCCGGGTGGGCCCTGCGCTGTGGGAACCTGCTTTGCGAGGGAGCTGGAGCTGGGTGCAAGCTCCGTTAAGGGTGCTCTGGGGTGGGGGACGGGGGGGGCACGCTGGCATTTGGAGGGAGAAAGTGCTCCCTCCAAGCTGGGCTCTGCCCTTGGCTGCAGAACAGTCGCTCATATCCCGCCATGCACTGCACCCAGGCTTCCCTCCCATTCGTATTTCCATTCAGCTTTTGACCTATGTCCAGAGCAGGTAAAAGTTAACATGGAGTAACTTTTACTTTCATCGACTCAGCAAAAGTCGCACAGACATTGGAAATCAAACCCCGGCTGAGTTAGAGCCGTCCCAGGCAGATCGGGCCCCGCTCAGGCTCATGGGCGGGGCCACGGGGCTGGCCGGACGACGGACAGGGCAGGTCCCGTGCCCAGCGCCCCCGTGGTGTCACCTGCAGCTCCCTGCAGCACAGCAAGGGTCCCACATGCACACGCAGAGCTCCCGCCTCTACCTGCACGGAAAACGGGGTGTGGCCAGGAAGTGTGGGGGCCACTGCAGCAAGCCCTGGGGGAGCTCTGGGATCCCCAGCTTATCTCTAACCTGTTTAGCAAAGAGGACAAGGGAGCCCCCTTCCTGCACTCCCCCTCACAGTGGACCCCAGGGATTGCCCTCCTCTGCCTCCAGGCCAGGCCAGGCCAGGCCAGGCCAGGCCAGGGGAGGGGAGCAGGCGGGCCTGCGGGGGATGCCCACCCCTCTGCAGGGCAGGTGCGCGGAGGGCGCCCACCCAGTGCAGGGGATGGCGGGCCATGCGAGCTACAGGCATGGGCACACACAAGGCCGGCAGAGCCCCGCGGCAGCTGCGTCACCACTGCCTCCCCAGTGGGGGCAGAGACCCCAGTGGATCTGGCAGCTCTCCTGTGTGAGCAAAACCATGGAGGAGAGAGAAATGCGACATGAAGCCCGGCCGGAGGCAGCTTGCCTTCATGGACACAGAGCCCGGGACCTACCTCTCTCTTCAGTGCCTCACTCTCGACGTGCCGAAGTTTGTTCTTCGCCTGCACGTAGATCTCGGCCGTGTGCTGAAGCTCCGGAGGTTTTGGTGCTGGGTAGCCAGGAGGGGGTGGGGGCACCTTGGAGTTGGGGGGTGGGGGAGGTGCAGGGAAATTTGGAGGTGGAGGTGGAGAAGCTTCACCCCTTTGCTTGCCATGACCTGGCCCCAGGTCAGGATTCAGCATGTCCATATAAGCTTGCATATCTGTGATGGTTGTTTCGGGGACTCCTGGAGTGAGTGAGCAAGAGAGAGGAGAAGAGAAAGATGGAGAAAGAGAGCAGGTCAAATTGCAAATGCAGGCAAGCTGGCAAGGGCAGCAAGGATGATCCAGGGACTGGAAACAGGGCCCTGTGAGGCGGAGCGGAAGAAGCTGGGCATGCCCAGCCTTGAGAGGAGGAGGTTGAGGGGAGGTAGGATAGCTCTCTACAATGCCTGAAAGGCTGCCACACGGAGGAAGGCCAGGCTCTCTCGTCAGTCATCCCAGACTGCAGGACATGGGATAACAGGGTAATGAGGGAGAAAGCCAGATTCGAGCTAGGTATCAGGAAAAAATTCCTGACTATTAGGAGGAATGGTTCGAGAACGGAATCAATTACCTGGTAGACTGTGAGTTCGCCCACCTGGAGGCATTCAAGAAGAAACTGGGCAGCCAGCTGAGAGGACGGCTTGACTGGGAATCCTGCACTTGGCCCGATGCCTTTCTGGGCCCCTTCCAGCCTCTGATTTATGATTCTGCGAATGACCGCTGGGCTTGCAGAGCACGGAAGGCCTGCCCGTGGCGGGCCCCGCAAGCATGCTTCCCTCAGTCTGCAGCGCAAGGGTGGCCCTTCCCCGCATGGCCAAGGGACTGCTCTACCCCTTGCCCTGCCCTCAGCCAGCCAACACAGATCGGTGGGGCTTGGTCCTAACAGACTCACGTCCCCTCCGTCTCAGGGGGTCTGCTTTACGCATAGCTGAGTCTGCACCCACAGAGGTGCCGCGGCCCTCCTGCTCGCCTCCGGGCTCCCTGTGGGCAGCCGGGCAGCCTCCGCACACAGCCCTGCTGGGCCAGATGGGCTCTTGGCCTGGCCCGGGCATTGGGTGTGGCTGACGCCATGCCCCGCTCCCACGGGTGCTGGCTGGCCTCTGTGTGCACGGGATGATGGGCTGGGCCTCCTCCAGCGGCTCTGCACTCGTGCTCTCAGGCCTGAATCGGCTTCCTCCCTGGGATTTCCACCTGAGTTCTCACAGGAGCGGGTGCTGGCTCGGAGGTGCCACCCCCCCAGGCTGCCCTGGGTCCTTCACCTTCTGCTGGGAAGGCTGTACAGAAGGCAGCACCACTCTTGGGAAAGAGCTTGTGGCCTCTTCCAGAAAACCTGGAATGCCATTTCACCAGCAGGGTGCCTGTGCTCCACAGTGCCGGCTTCAGTGTCAGAGGTGGAGGGGGCTTTAAGCTGAACTATGCGCGTTTGGGGACAGCCCCCCTTCCACGCACCCCCCACCCCAAGAACGCAGCCACCAAATATTTCGCCAATGCCACATTTGGACCACGGGCTGAAAGAGGCTCTGCGCCCCTCCTGTGTAGGGCAAGTCGCTGGCCCAGGCCGAAAAGTGGCTGGCCCTTTGGCCCCGGCTTCTACCGCTGCAAGTTTAGCCCAGCGAGAGGGTGGGGCCCATGTGCCTGTGGGGGCACCCACCGCCCTCTGAAGTGCCCCTGCTGCCCACCCTGCTCTCAAGGTCTGCTTTCAGGCAGGAGGCAAAGCACCCTCAGCAGTGAGAGCAAGCGGAGGAGCAGCCATCCAGAAGGGGGCGAACAGCAGAAGAGTGTTGCTGGCCCCGGCCAGGAGCCATCTTGCTGGGTCAGACCCACAGGGGCTTGGTGTGCCATATGCCCCGAGCAGGCCTCGCGAACCGCCATCCTGACGAACTGTGAAGCACCGGGATCTGGGTGCAAAGCGGGGACCATCCCAGTAAGCCTCCACATCCCATTCAATTCCCTTCCGAACCACCCACAGAAGGACCAGCAGCCGCTCTCGGGCTGCTCTGGGACAAAGCCAGCAGAGACGCGGCAGGCGGGTCCATGGCCCCGTGTTGCCACAAGATGGCGCCTCGCCCGGCCCCCCAAGCCGCCTGGCCCCTCGCCCTCCCTTCGGAGCAACCGCGCCAGCCGCCCCGCCCCCCGAGGGAGGGGTGCTTACGGGAGCCTTGGCTGTTCCGTTTCTCCCCGGTGCTGGACTGGCTGGAGTTGCAGGAGTCGTAGTTGGACAGGGTGCTGCTTGGCGATCCGATGTCGAAGTGGGCCTGCGGAGCAGACATGGTTGTGTTGGGAGAGGACATGCCGGAGTCGGGCTGCTTGAACTCCAGGTCGGTGGAGGGGTCCCGTGAGAGGACCCGGTGCTCCACACTCTGCAAGACACAGAAGGCAAACAGGCAGAGGTCAGCAGCCAGAGAAGAGCGACCAGTCCCAGTGGCCCCCGCTCCGCCTGCCCCTCTTGAGCCCAAGCCCTTCTGTGTGCACGCGGGGGCTTGCTCTGAGGCCTCACTCCCCCAACGCCAGGAGCTGCTCCTGCCCAGACTGGCCCAGTGTCTGCTGCGGCAGACTTCCTGGCTGGCTGAGGGTGGCCCAGCGTGCCCGGGCTGCCTGCTGAGCCCTTGCCAAAGCTTTCTTGCAGCCCAAGCGCTGCCAAAGGCCCTCTGCCAGAATGGCCCGGGGCGCTCTGTGGACAAGCTGGGCTCCTTTCCTGACCCCAGGTGCCCGGGTAGATCACAGGCAAGGTGTTCAAGGGAAGTTAAAGAACTGATTTCTGTGCAAAGCCTGCTATTTCTCAGGGGTCCATTCCTCTCATGCAAGGCAGGCAAAGGTCGGCATGTGATGAATGCCTCCCCCAGGCTGGTTCCCAGTTTCTCCAAGCAGGGTTCGAAAACTCCTCCCTGAAAGCTTAGAGCGCCCTCACTGCCAGTCAGTGCCAACAATACTGAGTGCACGGTTAACATATGGAAGCTCTTAGTTTTCTTAGTTAGAACAATCTTCCCCACAAAGCCATGTGGACTGGAAGCTTGCTCTTTTTTTAGCCATAGTTCACTGGTTTTGCACGCAGAAAGTCCCATGACCCCAGCATCTCCATGTAGGGCCGCGGAAGAACCGTGCCTGGAATCTGAAAAGCTGCTGCTGCCAGCCAGTTTTGTCAGTCCTGGGCTACGTGTGCCAAGGTTCTGGCTTGGTATATGGCAGCTTCCAATGTTCCTAAGGAAACACAGAAGCCGAAACACCCCCTGAAGATGGGCGACTGGGGGCCCTGCTGCAAACCTGCTGGGACCCAAACCACGTCCTCTAACCTCAAGGCCACTGCAAAGCTTGAGCCGGCCGTCCAGGGAGGCAGGGCGGAAGGCCCACAGCAAGAACGGCAGGGAGTTCTGGAGGATGCCCAGTGGGCTGCGAAGGGGGGGGGGGCCGACCTGATGAGCCCGCCCAGGCCAGGAGCGCCTGCGGGCTTGCCAGTGCTTTCCTGCCTCCACTGCCCTTGCTCTGCCCTCACTTGCCCAGCGGCTGGATCGGGTGCACGTGGATTGCAGGGCCACGGGCAGAGCTGCAGAGGACAGCGGGTCCTTCAGGCGCCCCAATTTTGTAATGCCTTAGACATCCCCCGCACGGCTGTAGGTGTCATCACGGTCTCATCCACAGGCTCTTCAACGTCTACACGAAAAGGCTGAGTAGGTCCGTCTGGCCTCTTGGAGTATGCGGCCATTAGTGCGCAGCCAGCCATGTCGAGTGAGGCTGTGGAGGTGCCAATGCGGGGCCTGCCTGCGACCATGGACTGGACAAGGGCTGGCAAGCTGGAGTTCAGCCCAGACAGGCCCAAGGGGGCTGGCGGGTGATTCCTCGGGCTGGATGGAGGGTGCTCCACCTGTTCTGCTTGGGTAGCGCCCCTGAAGGGGCAGGTTTGGAGTGCGCCTTAATCCACTGCGGAGGTTCAGGTGGCCCAGTGACTCAGAGTACCTTCTACCAGCTTTGGCTGGTGGCCCAGCTGACGCCCCTCTCTGGACAAAGATATCCTGGCTTTGGCGATTTATGCTCTGATGATCTCTAAATTAGATTACTGCAATGCACTCTACGTGGGGCTGCCCTTGAAGACTGTTTGGCAGCTGCAGCTTGCGCAAAATGTAGCAGCCAAACTAATAGCAGGGATCAAATGGTCTGATCACATAATTCCAATTCTGGCCCACTTGTATCAGCTGCCTATATGCTTCCAAGCCCAATTCAAGGTGCTGATTTCAACCTATAAAGCCTTACATAGCTGGGACCTCAGTACCTGATGGAATGCCTCGCCCCATCTCAATCTATTTTTCCAGTTTTGGCTTTAATTTATTTACTGATTTTATTGTTATTATTATTGGGTTTTGTAGCCAAGGTTATATTTTGTTTGCATTGTTTTATATTGCTGAATCTTAATATGTTGTAAGCTGCCCAGAGAGCCTACGGCTAGGAGGGCAGCCTATACACTGAATTAATCTTCCCAGACCCTACAATCTATGCCTGGGCCCTTCCTCTACCTGCCACCTCCAAGGAAGGTCCAGAAAGAGGGAACGAGGAGGTCGGCCTTGCCGGGGTGCTCCCCAACTGTGCCTGCCTGGGGCCACCAGGGTCACCTTTGGCTTGGGGTATAACTGCCCTCTGCTGCCAAGCTCTTGGTGGCATGTGATGCGTATGCCCGCTGTTTCACTTAGGTCTGGTTCTTAATGGAAGCGGACGGGTTTGTATCTTAGTATATTGGATTTTTTAGCTGTTTTAAATGCATATGCCAGAATTTTATACTGCATTTACTGTATTTGTATTTTTATTGCATCATTTATGCTTGATTAATCATTGTGATCCACCCACAGAGCTTTGGCTATTGGGTGTATAGTAAATCAATCCATCAGTCTTCCATTATTCACTTGCTGCGCCTGGCAAGGGCCCCTCCAGGCAGAAGGGCTGTGGTGAAGGCGGCAGTGAGGAGAGGAGGGAGGGGGAAGCCGAGGAGAGGGGACCAAAGCGGCTAATGACGCTTCACGGATGCCAGCTCAATTGCAGCAGGGGACTGGGGGGTGGTTAGGTGGCCAACTTTGTGGAGCGGGTAGCCTTGGGAGAGGGGGGCCCACGTGGGCCTTCCAGGCGGTTGCTGGAGAGCGGGGAGGACAGCCACCCGCTCTGCCAAGCCGCGTCCCAGCTGCTCATCGGGCTGCGAGTCAGCCCCCCCACCCAGCCCCGGAAGATCCGCCCCCCAGGACAGCCCCCCATGGGGACACACCAGGAATGCCCATGCTTACGTTGCCCATGGCTGCGGAGAGGGGCCCCCACTGCCCCCAGCCGGCCCGGCCCAGCCCGGAGGAGCGACCTTCTTGGCTCCGCAGACAGCATAACACAACAGCCCCGGCCGGTCCCCGGGGGCGAGGCCTTCCAGCGGGCCTGCCTGCAGTCATCAGCGCGGCTGCCGGGGCAACGGGACAGCTGCGCGGCTCCCAACGCCCTCCTGCAGCTGCTGCAGGAATGTATTTTTCCCTCCAATGCTGGAGGAGAGTGGAACTCCGTCAGCGGCCCCCGAGGGCCTGGAGAGGGTGGCCCGCACAGCGCCACGCAGGTAGGGCGCAGGCCCGCGCACGAAGCCGCCCCGACGCCCGGCCAGCGGGCGGGCCAGCGGGCGGCATCTGAGCCAAGCCGGTCCACGCGTCACCCGCATCTGCGTCTGCAAGAAGGGCCGGCAGCGGCCACACGTGCCGGCCCGGCGCGTCCTCCCGCGCTGCCATCCGCAAGCCCTTCCGGCTCAGTGACCGGTTCCGTCTGCTGCCGCACAAACCGGGGTCTGACGGCGCCCCAGGCAGCCTCCCCACGCCCGGGGGCCCCAGGCGTGCCAGACCACCCCCTTGCAACGCCGCCGCCTGCCAGTGGAGCGCTGCTCACTCTGCACATGGACAAAGGCGCCCCCCTCGGGGCTGCCAGTCCTTTCGGGCTGCTGGAATTTTGCGAGTGTGTCATGGGCGTTTTCACTGACTGGCTGCCACGAAAGGGCTCAGCCACACACTGCCCTTCAGGGGATGAACAGAAAAGCAGCTTGCTCAGGAACCGGAGCCCAGGGCAGAGGTGGGGGCTGGGCTCCAAAGCACAAGATGTGGATGGCCTCCATGGCAGAAAAGGATGCTTAGCAGACAGCAGGAGGGGCGGAAGCCTGCCGACAGGGTGTGTGTGGTGGGGGCTGCACCGAGCCCCCGCAGCACACGCTCCCCTCTCTCCCCCTCTCGGTCCTGCCTCAGGCCAGCCCCACCCAGCAATGCGATCCTCACCATGTTCTCCACGGTGCGCAGGTACTTGGCGCAATGCACGTGCCCGTTGTAATCCGCGAGGTCGGCTGCTGTGTAGCCGTCCTGGTCCCGGAGGCCGAGGTTCACCCCATTCACCACGAGGATTTGACAGCACTGGGAGGAGGGGGAACCGCAGAGAAAGGGCACTTAAGTCCAGAGCCCATGGGGGAGGGGCGTTGAGGAGCCTGCAGGGGGCAGCATCCCTGGAGCCCATGAAGCAACCTCCCACCAGTCCAGGCCACCTCTTTCTTCCCAGGCGGCTTCCGGAGGGGTTGGACTGCACCACCCGTGGCCAGCAGCCATGCTGGGGGGGGGGCTCGAGAACTGCAGTTTCACTGCCAGCCCTCAGGGGTTCTCATGGCAGGGCTGCAGCTTAGGGGGCTGGAAAGGGGGCCTTTGAGGCATGCTGCAATCCAGTCCCACCAGCCAAGGGGCTCCATCATCCTGAGTGCCACAGGACAGCCTTTTCCCGCCCTCACAGGCTAGCACATGAATGGCATGACGGAGAGACCAGCTAATAGCCCACCCTCGAGGGCAGAGTGTGGGTTGTCATTGAATTGTGGGTTATTCTGTTGGCTGGGGAACATCCCGGAGTTCACAGCTCAACAACTAACCAAGCATTCCCTTCATGGGTTGTTCACAGTCAACAGGTCAGACAACACGACAACCCAGATGCAACCTTTGAGTGAGTTATTCTGTTATCTGAACCCAGTCAGTGATTTGCAAGGCCATCTACAGACTTCGTGGAAGAACTAAAGTTGGAAGCGAGGATGCCTTGGCCCATGGTTTGCCATTCACTGCCACCGCGCCATGCCAGCTGCGATCACTTTACACAGCACGGCTGCGGGACCACACGCCTCGGGGGCAAATCCAGTCCGATAATGAGAGGGGTGGCTGAATTGAGCCTAGCGAGCCCCACGTGGCTCTTTGGGAGCATTTTGGGGCTGGCTTGCCACTCACCACCTGCTGTCACTGCCCGTGGGCTCCTGCTTGCCACCTGCGGGGGCCCACCTGCTGCCCATCGCTGCTGCCTGCTTGCAGGTCTCAAACATCTGACATTTCCCATACATGGCTCTTCTGCTGAGCAGGCCTGGCCGCTCCTGCTGTGACAAGCTCCTGTGTGGGACTCAGAAGGCTGCCCCCCCCCCCGGCCCCAACCTCCAGTCGCTTGGTGCTTTCTGGGCTTCTGGGCATGTTCCCCCATCCTAAAATATTGATGTATTTTAGCCCTCCTACTAGCAGTAAGAACTTCAAGTGACGCCATCCAGATGTTCTGGGATGCAGCCCCCATGCCTTCCCCATGTGGAGATTCTGCACCCCGTATCGCAAGGAACCCCAACTTTGTGAGCCACCAGACCCGATGGACACCAGGTGGAGGAACGGCCCTCCCTGCACCCACCCCAGCCTGCCCGAAGCACGTGACGTCTTCGGCTCACAGACTCACTTCCAGCTCGCCGTTCTCGGCGGCGTCGTGCAGGGGGGTCCCCCCCCAGTGGTCAGCCGCGATTTCCCCTCCGTGCAGGAGCAGCCAGCTCAGCACCTTGGCGTGGCCGCGGCTGGCAGCAAAGTGCATGGCGGTGGCCCCGTCGTCATCCTGCTCCGAGAGGCTGACATCGGTGAAGCTCATCTAGGGATAGGGGGGAGAGAGCACAGAACACGTGAGGGCCAGCTAAGCGGGCTGGGTCAGGAACCGGCCCGGATGTAGCCCCTCGGACCCTTGGCTTCCCCAGTCAAAGGTCCTCCAGGCGGGCTGGACTCCTGGAATCCCCAGGGGAAGCTGTAGTCCGACGTGGCTGCAGCGCCTGGAGCTGGGGAAGGCTGTCAGAGGGCCTCCAACTGGGGCCAAGCAAAGGTCAAGAGTATTGACCTCACCTGGAATACTGCGTCCAGTTCTGGGCACCAAGATATAAGAAAGATGCAGAAAAGTTAGAAAGGGTCCAGCGGAGGGGAACAAAAATGAAGCAGGGATTGGAAACACTGCCCTGTGAGGAGAGACTGGGAGAACTGGGCATGTTCAGCCTCGAGAAGAGGAGGGCATGATATCCCTCTGTAAGTACCTCAAAGGCTGTCACAAAGAGGAAGGTCAGGATCTCTTCCTGCTGATGCCAGAGTGCAGGACACGGAATAATGAGTTCAAGTTGGGACAACCCAGATTCAGGCTGGATATCAGGAAAAGCTTCCTCACTGTCAGCAATACGACAGTGGAACTGGCTGCCTGGAGGGGTGGGGGGCGCTCCCACAGTGGAGGCATTCAAAAAGAAACTGGGCAGCCATCTGAGTGGGATGGTGCAAACTGATGTCCAAGCAGGGTGGGTGGACTGATGGCCTTCTTGGCCCCTTCCAACTCTGCAATTCCATGATTCTATGAAACATCCCAGGGACAAGAGGAAAAGAGGTGGGGCCTAGCAAGACAAAACAAAGCCACCAGGATATTTTAGGTTAATACCCTTATTCTTCTGCATTACTGATGTAATTTTTGGTTTCTTTGAAAGCCATTTCAGAGCGTTGGCATTACGTGCAGCAGAGGCATGGGGCAGGGAGGAAGCTGCATCTGCCTCTCCCGGGTCTTTGATCTTAGATCCCCTTCAGAGACGGCAAGCAGCTCTTCCTAGTAGAGCCGTGGATCACAGGTGGCAGCAGCCTGTGTGCAGGGAATGCTGCTCTGTTTGCTTGACAGATTTTGCAGGGGGTTTACCCGCTCCTTTTCTTTTCATTGCCAATAGCTACCTGGGGTGCTCACTCTACACCGAAGCAGACAATGTGGTGTAAGCAGTTCCTAAGGAAAGAAAGGGCAGACCCACCACCGCTTCTCCATCACACCCCAGGACAGCCTTCCCTTACGTGCCTGGGTTTGGCTTTGCAATCCACGCAAATGCCATATACCAAGAGCAGCCCAGCCCGTTCCGTGCGCTCCTTGGCCAGGCGGCAGCACTCACCAGCCAGACAATTATGGTGTTGTGACCCATCTGGGCAGCGGCGTGGAGAGGCGTCATCCCGTCATTCGCGCGCACATGGGGGTCAGCTCCGCAGTCCTGGACCAGGTACCGGATGATCTCCAGGTGGCCCTCCTGGCAGGCTAAGTAAAGGGGTGTGGCACCATTCTTGGTTCGGGCACTGACTGAGCTGCAGGAACAAGAACCAGGCACGGTCAGACCGCGGCATGGGCTGCCGCACGGAAGCCTCCACCATGCCCAGGCTGGGTGTTCGTCCAGTTACGCCTTTCACTAATCGCCACAGTCCGCCCGGTGATTCTTTCTTTCTTTATTTAAAATATTTCTATGCTGTCCTACATGAAAATCCTCCCAGGAAGGCTTACCATAATTAGAACAATAAATAAACAACATACATAATACCAACAAAAAAAGAAAAAGAAATGGGACTATAAATATTAAAACCAGTTAAAATTCCTTAATCTTTAAAATAGTGGGTAAATAAACTCTATACAACTCTGGTGTGCCTGCAACTATTGTGCTCAGTTTTGGGTGCCTCATTACAGGAAGGCTATAGCTAGGTTAGAGTCAGTGCAGCGTAGGGCCACAAGGTTGGTGGCCGGTTTGCAGGGGATGCCGTATGAGGTGAGACTGAGGGAACTGGATCTCTTCAGCCTGGAGAAGAGAAGACTCAGAGGGGCTCTGTTGGCGACATACAGCTATGTGAGGGGGTGTCACACGGAGGTGGGGAGAGACCTGTTCTCCCCTGCAGAGGAAGGCAGGATGCACTCCAACGGAGCAAAGCTCAGGGAGCCAAGGTTCAATTTGGATGCCAGGAAGTCCTTGCTGACAGGACCCCGAGGGTGTGGAATGGGCTTCCACGGGAGGTGGTTGAGGCCCCATCGGTGAGGGTGTTCAAAGATAAGCTAGACAAGGTGGGCATGTTGTGAGCGCAGCCAGCTGGAGCCGGAGGTCAGACTAGATGGCCCGGGAGACCCCTTCTGACTTGCTCTGTTTCTATGTTTCTTAAAAAAGTTTTTACCTGGCATCGAAAGGAATATAAAGTTGGCAGCAGGCGAACCCTTCTGGGGAGTGCATTCCACAATCTGGGTGCCATGGCAGAGAGGGCTCCCCTCCTGTATATTTGCCTTTTATCCAGGATGTGGGTCATTCTGTGGACCATACATAATCCTGCTTTGCTGTGAATTATTTAACAACAGAACTTGTGCACCCCGGATTAATTTATTTTAACTTACTGTATTTATCAGCAAAAAGTTGTGTTTCATGGTCATTTAATAATATCTCTTCAATGTCTCTTTAATAAAGAATCATCTACTTTAGTTCCTGATGCTAAAATATAGCTAGTATTTTAGCTAAAATGTTTTGGTGGTGTCTAGTAATTGGCATTTTTTGGAGGACAAAGCAATTGAGGCATGATGTGAATTTTATATGGAGCAGTCTCTCATATTTACTGATGTACTTGCTCTTTTAAATCACTGGCTTGCTTCCTGAAAATGTGCAAATATTTAGTGCAAATACTCATAGCTTCTCTGTGTCCCTTTGACGAGTAAAGCCTGACATTAAAAATCCGGAAGGATGAACGCTCACTTCCTATAGCGCAATGGATGGAGGAGCCGACAAAACTTTGAGGCCATGCACAGGTGGTCAACTTGAATTTGAGTCCTCTTGCTGAGGCCTGTTATTGCTAGCAAGCCGTATGCATTTCATACCAGTTCATGGACACGCTTTAAAATTGCAAGGGAAAGAACGCCAAGTGCCTGGGGGCGCCTGTGGGCACCACACGGGGACCCTGGGGTAGGAGCCTGCGTTTGTTGTGTGGGAAACCGCCCCTCTGCTTTCCTCCGTGCTTAGCCCCCCTCCTGCCTGCCTGACTTTGCAAACTGCTCTTACCCTCCTCATATCCCACCCCAAAGACTCAGCAGGTAACCTCCGGAGCAAGAAGCCAGGTGGGTGCAGATGGGCAGCCAAAGGGGCTTGGCGACAGGGACAGGGTTTGGCCCACTACTTGCCCTTCCCTTCCAAAGGCTGCTGTCCTCCACAGGGGACAGCCAGGGCTGAAGTGACCACTGGCCAGGGCTCTCCCACTTGCTGGCCTGTCCCACAAGGTGGTGCTCTAAGAATTCACAAGCAGGCAGGATGCCAGGGCCTGCTTCTCTTGTTGCCAGGGGCTTTCAAGGCCGGGCCACATGCTTGGCCTCATCAGGATGTGGCCCTGAAGCTGGGGGGTGAATTGCTCCCACCCAGCAGGTCCTTTCCCAGTTGTCTGCTGTGTGATGTGCAAAAGCAGAAGGTTGGGAAGAGAGGCTCTGGGAGCGGGCCTGATTTGTCCCCGGTCTGGCACACACGGAGAAGGATCTGGGGGACTCTTGGGGACCCCCTGGCTCGTGCGTCCTGGGGCGGCAAAAACCAGCAGTGGGCAGAGGACTGGAATGTGTGTGTGTGTGTGTGGGGGGGGGGGCTTTGTGAAGCTGGTGCTATTCCAGATGCTTTAATCCATAACCCCCACCTGGGCCAGCAGTGCAGCCACTGGTGCCAGTTGTAGTCCAGAATGTCTGGCTGAGGAAAGCTGGAACTGATGGTGCTGGTTTTTTTCTGACTCCCACTTTATTAAAGCACTCGATAAATAACTGTTTAATATTTTAAAAAGGAGAAGCAATAAATACTCTGCTCTGCGATCAGGATAGATGCTGGGCCTTTCAATAATTAATTGCTGTAACTTTACGAAGGGAGCTGGCGGGGCATGAGTGCTGGGAGTGAGGCAGGGAAACCTGGGTGGCCCTTGGAAAGCCTTGCTGGCTCCCCCCCCACCCCATTCCCCGCCCCCCTCATTTATCCTTTGGTGGGTTCCCCCAGCTTGATGATTCCAGCACATTCTCACCACCCTGAGACACTGTAAAGGGTGGGATAGAAAAATGTTAAACAAACAAGCAAATAAACAGATAAATGAATAAGGCAGGGTGTGGGTTCTAGTCCGTGAAACTCTGTGAGTAACTTAAGGCCTTATGGACTCTCAGCTTAATCTTCCTCACAGAATTGTGGTGAGCACGAAATGGAGATGGGCTCATGTTTACTCCCCTACAGCCATCAAATGAGAGGTGGGCAAGACTGGCCTTATTGTCTCCACGCAATAAGTCCCCGGTTGGCTTGAGGCTGCGTCTCCCTGCCTCTCTCACGGGTCTTCACCCAGGATGTAAATACTAACACGAGTCATGATTTTATATGGGGGAAGGCACCATGGCACTGGATGCAAACGGAGGGATTCTGGCCCATGGCAGGACTATACCACATCAGGTCTAGAAAATCCGAAGGCTTCTCAGCTAGAGTCCTGTTCCTGTCAGTCGGTCTCTCATCACTACCTCTTCACCACCATAAGCCTTGTCTCTAATTGCGATTCTTTTTCATTACAGGCTTCCTCATTTATTAGATTAGAGCACCCCCCACCCATTGCCCCTATTCACTGAAAAATCTGTCTGTACTTTCTTCCCTTATGAGTACAGATACAGGTGCCTGAGGCAACTTCTTGGTATTTCCTCCCATTTCTCAAAGGCTAATAATTGCTCTTAAGTTTATCTTTTCAAGCATTTGCTAAAATAATTTGAAATGGAAAAGCATGGGTTCATCTGGCCACCATCTCATCAACAAATACCTCAGGATTCTGGGTGTTGGACAATGACGGAAATGAAAGGTAAAAAGCCCTGCACAGAACTTCTCACAAGGCGTGGGGCTCTTCAGGCTTTGAACGGCTCATTTTAGGCATGGGGGAGGGGGCACACTGCTTGATGGACACTTACAGTATGAATGCAGTGTGCAACTGAGAGCCATACTTTTCCGAGGTATATGATCCAATTTTTTAAAAAAATGCCCAAGGAAGTGCACATTAAAATGTGCATAAACATGGGCAAATGTCGGGAAAACGCATCCAAACATGTGCAGATTTTCAGAAGCCAGTTCAAAGAAGTACACACTTTTGAAATGTTCACAAAAATACATACATTTTAAAATGCACTTTTTTGTAATTACAGTCTGACACATAAATGGGATAAAAAGAACTGAAGAACTTTCCTACAAAAGAAGGTAGCTTCCAACAGGGAACAAGGCTTAAAGGTACAGAACCCCAAGGAGGCAGAAGTCAAGCCTTCCAGTTGTCTGTCCACAGGGACTGCAGGTGATGTCTACCTGGCGTTCCCCTCTCTGTTGAGATACATTATTTTCTATTTAAATTCAGGTATTTCTAAATTGACACCTAGACACATAAAATACCACATACCTTTTTATACAAATCGGGGACCTGTTTGCCCCATTTTTCTGGCAATGCATTTCTTCTTTTTTGGGTCAGGGGCCACCCTACCTCACCCTGGGTGCCACCCCTGTGATCCAAAGCATGACCCCTCAGAGAAGTCACTTTAATACTCTCTAGGGCGGGTGCAATTCATCTTAAACTGGAAAGGGTGCCCAAGAAGAAGGGCCACTGTGAGCACATGCGGATGCAGCCCTCTCCCTGCACGGACCAGCACAAAAGCTGTCTGGAGCTTTCTGGTTAGGAAAGAGAGCACAACGGAGGGTTAGGAAGTTCTGCCCACCAACACCGCACATTTTTAATGAATTAGAAATGCATTCTCATTTTCATCTGAGTAGTGTTGGAGGGCATGGACTGAGTGGGAGCACTGAGGGTAGCCTGCACTTCGTCCTCATGGATCTGACAGGGATTCCCTAAATGCATGGGCCTGGATCCCAGAAGCCTGCAAAACAGGGCTGTGCTGTTTGTGCTAGGCAAGCAGCTGAAAGGGCGCTCTTGAAAGAAAGAAAGAAAGAAAGAAAGAAAGAAAGAAAGAAAGAAAGAAAGAAAGAAAGAAAGACAGACAGACAGACAGACAGACAACCCAGCTGGGGAGCATGGGACCTGTTGGGAAAATTTGGGTAAATCCTGTCTGAAAAGCATTACTCCTGTGTGCCTTTGCATTTGTGGGATCAAATCCTGTCTTCCTTCTCAAAACCAAGCTGTCACTGTTTAAAATGGCATTCCCCCGCCCCTGGCTATGGGGCAAGAGCAGACAGAAAGAATTGGAGGTCCTCATTCAGTCAAATTCATTCACATTGTAGCTAGCTAATCTCTTTTGGAATTTACCGCTTGACAAGAAGTAGCTATTTGTTATACTTTACTCAGGGTCTCAG